TCTCTCTCACACACACACGTCTTTACAAACACAGAGGAGATTCTAACACAGGAAGAAGCAATTTCCCCAGAGCCATGGATTACTAAAAAAACCAAATGGAAGAAGCGGAGAAAGAGAGGTAAAAGGGCGGGAATTTTAATCAAGCTAAGAAATAGGAGAAATAAAACACTGCCTTCAATTTTCCTAACCAATGTACATTCACTTGCTAATAAGATGGATGAAATACTCCTTTTAAACAGATACAATTCTGATTTTTACAATTCAGCAGCTCTATGCTTCTCTGAAACCTTGGTTAAATGAATCAATTAAAGATAGCAGCCTGCATATCTCAGGGTTTCAGATTCAACGATCAGATAGAATTGTAGAAACATCTGGTAAAAAGAATGGAGGAGGCTTATGCTTACATATCAAAAACAGCTGGTCTCAGGATATAACTATAATATACAAATTCTGTGACGAAAATCTAGAAACATTAATTATCAACTGTAAACCATACTATTCGCCTTGTGAATTTTCCTCATTTCTTCTAATTGCTGTTTATGTCCCACCACAAGCCTGTGTAAACAAAGCATTACGAACTCTAGCTGACCAAATTATGGAGGCTGAAGCCAAATACCCCAATTCACTGGCCATTATTTGGGGAGATCTAAACAAGGCAAACTTAAGGAAAGAGCTACCAAAATACTTTTAGCATGTCAATTGTCCCACTAGAGGCAAGAATACTTTAGACCATTGCTACACAACACTAAAAGATGCTTATCGGGCTTTATCACAAGCAGCTGTAGGACACTCTGATCATTGCATGATTCACCTTGTACCTGCTTACAGGCAAAGACTTAAAACCACAAAACCAACAATTAAATCAATGAAGACCTGGACTGAGGAGGCAAAATTAAAGCTACAGGCTTGCTTTTACTGCACTGATTGGAATATTTTTGAAGATACTTCTGCAGACCTGGATGAACTCACAGATACTGTAACATCATATGTCAGCTTCTGTGAAGACCTATGTGTAGCGACAAGGAACTTGCGACTATACAGTAACAACAAACCTTGGTTCACAGCTAAACTTAAGCAGCTACCTCGTTCCAAAGAGGAAGTCTACAGAAAAGGTGATAAAATGCTGTACAATCAGGCCAGAACTGTATTAACAAGGGAGATTAGAGCAGCAAAAAGAAGCTACTCTGAAAAGCTAAAGAATCAGTTCTCAACAAATGAACCAACAAACATGTGGAAAACTCTTAAAAATATCACCAGCTACAGCAAACCTCCTTCCCAGGCTGAAGAAAATCAACAAATGGCAGATGACCTGAACGTGTTTTATTGCAGGTTTGACTGCAGGTTTGAAAGGTTTGAAAGGAAACTACAGCCACTTATCTCCACAACCCCCATCTCAGACATACCAACCTCCTACACCCAAACCTCCTACACCCAAACCTCCTACAACTGACCCCATCCTATGGGGTTCACAAACCCTGGTGATCACAGAAAAGGAAGTGCAAGATCTATTTTACAGACAAAAGCCAGGAAAAGCTCCAGGCCCAGACAAGGTAACTCCTTCTTGCTTAAAAGTCTGTGCTGACCAATTGCCCTCCATCTTTACCTGAATCTTCAATAAATCACGTTCCTTCTTGCTTCAAACGCTCTACTATCATCCCAGTGCCGAAGAAGCCCACCATCAAAGAACTGAATGACTACAGACTCGCGACTCGGCTGAGGAACTGGTGGCCACCTGGGATAGGGCAGCCGCTAGAGCCTTGGACCGCGTCGCACCTTTGCGTCCTCTGACTCGGTGCCGATCTCAACCAGCTCCTTGGTTCTCCAAGGAGCTGAAGGAGATGAAGCACCGGAAAAGATGCCTAGAGAGCGATTGGAGGTCCAGCCACACCGAATCTGACCGGACACTGGTGAGGTCTTATATCAAGACCTACCTAGTGGCGATAAGAGTGGCGAAATCTAACTATTTTTCCACTCTTATTGCATCTGCAGAGAACCGCCCAGCCGCCCTGTTTAGGGTGACCCGCTCTCTCCTACGGGTGGGAGCAAGGGAGGATCCCTTGCAGGGTAGAGCTGAGGATTTTGGACAATTCCTGCATGATAAAATCGCTCAGATTTGGGCCGGCCTGGACTCCGATTGGATAGCCTCGGACGGGATGACGGAGGTGAGTCTTGAGAGTGTCACCTGGGAAGAGTCTGACCATGTGACTCCTGAGGACGTAGACAGGATTTTGGGGAGGCTTAACGCTACCACATGTTTACTGGACCCATGTCCCTCCTGGTTGGTGCTGGCCTCCCGGGACGTTACACGAGGCTGGTTTCAGGAGATTACCAACGCTTCATTGAGTGAGGTTGTCTTCCCATCCGCCCTGAAAGGGGCGGTGGTGAGGCCCCTCCTCAAGAAGCCTTCCCTGGACCCGGCTGTATTAGGTAACTATCGTCCTGTCTCCAACCTCCGCTTCGCGGTGAAGGTTGTTGAGAGTGTGGTGGCGGGACAACTTCCTCGATTCCTGGATGAAGCTGTCTATCTAGATACGTGCCAGTCGGGCTTCAGGGCGGGTTACAGTACGGAAACGGCATTGATCGCATTGGTTGATGATCTCTGGAGGGCCTGGGACAGGGGTTGCTCCTCTGTCCTGGTCCTCCTAGATCTCTCAGCGGCTTTTGATACCATCGATCATGGTATCATGCTGCATTGGCTAGAGGGGGTGGGAGCGGGGGGCACCGTGCTACGGTGGTTCTCCTCCTTCCTCTCTGACCATACGCAGTTTGTGTTAATGGGGGGGCAGAGGTCAACCTTGAGGTTCCTCACTTGTGGGGTGCCGCAAGGGTCGGTCCTCTCGCCCCTTCTGTTTAACATTTATGTGAAGCCGCTGGGTGAGATCATCCATGGCTTTGGGGTGAAGTGTCAACTGTATGCCGATGACAAGCAGTTGTACATTTCAACCCCAGGCCACCCCAATGATGCCCTTGACATGATGTCCCGCTGCCTGGAGGCCGTGCGGATCTGGATGGGAAGGAACAGGCTCAGACTCAACCCCTCCAAGACTGAGTGGCTGTGGCTGTGGCTCCCGACGGCCCGATAAAGCCAGCTGACACCATCGCTGGCTATTGGGGATGAGATCTTACTTCCCTCAGAGAGGGCTCACAACTTGGGCGTCCTCCTGGACTCATGGCTGTCCTTGGAGGATCATATGACAGCCGTGGCCAGGGAGGCTTTTTATCAGGTTCGCCTGATCTCCCAGTTGCGTCCCTTTCTGGATCGGGATGCCCTGCGCACAGTCACTCACGCCCTCGTCACTTCCCGGCTGGACTATTGTAATGCTCTCTACATGGGGCTCCTCTTGAGGAGCACCCAGAGGCTCCAGCTGGTCCAGAATGCAGCCGCGCAAGTAATAATGGGGGCGACTCATGGCTCTCATGTAGTGGCTCTGCACTACATCCTACAACATCTTGAATCTCGAAAGACCTACGCAAGGGTCCTCTTTGTAGACTTTAGTTCAGCATTCAATACCATCATTCAAGACACTCTTCTAACTAAGCTAAACCAGCTACAGGTACCTGAACATACTTGTAAGTGGATCATAAACTTCCTAACAAACAGGAAGCAGCAGGTGAAGTTAAGCAGAAACATATCAGATACCTGTACAATTAGCACAGCCCCCCCCCCAAGACTGTGTGCTCTCCCCACTTTTCTTCTCTCTGTATACCAATGACTGCATCTCCAACGATCCATCTGTTAAACTACTGAAGTTCGCAGATGATACAACAGTGATTGGTCTCATTCGAGACAATGATGAATCCGCATACAGACAGGAGGTTGAACAACTAGCCTTGTGGTGTGACCGGAACAATCTGGAACTGAACACACTCAAAACCGTAGAAATGGTGGTAGACTTTAGGAGAAACCCTCCCATACTTCTACCTCTTACAATACTAGACAACACAGTATCAATAGTAGAGACCTTCAAATTTCTAAGTTCTATCATATCTCAAGATCTAAAATGGACACCTAACATCAAAAACATCATCAAAAAAGCACAACAAAAAATGTTCTTTCTGCACCAACTCAGAAAGCTCAAGCTGCCCAAGGAGCTGCTGATACAGTTCTACAGAGCAACTGTTGAGTCTGTCATCTGCACCTCTATAATTGTCTGGTTTGGTTCTGCAAACCTACAAGACAGACACAGGCTTCAGAGGATAATTAGGACTGCAGAAAAAAGATTGCTACCAACCTGCCTTCCATTGAGGATCTGTATACTGCACGAGTCAAAAAGAGGGCTGTGAAAATATTTACAGACCCCCTTGCATCCTGGACATAAATTGCTTCAACTCCTACCCTCAAAATGATGCTATAGAGCACTGCACACCAAAACAACTAGACACAAGAACAGTTTTTTCCCGAACGCCATCACTCTGCTAAAAAAGTAATTCCCTCAACACTGTCAAACTATTCACTAAGGCTGCATTACTATTACTATTAGTCTTCTCATCATTCCTATCACCCATCTCCTCCCATTTATGAATGCATGACTATAACTTTGTTGCTTGTATCCTTATGATTTATATTGATATTGGTTGTTTCCTAGTATGATTTGATTACTTATTTGTACCCTATGACTATCATTAAGTGTTGTACCTTATGATTCTTGACAAATGTATCTTGTCTTTTTATGTACACTGAGAGCATATGCACCAAAGACAAATTCCTTGTGTGTCCAATCACACTTGGCCAATAAAGAATTCTGTTCTGTTCCGTTCCGTTCCGTTCCGTTCCGTTCCATTCCGTTCCGTTCCATTCCATTCCATTCAATTCTATTCTCATTTTTCAAGTCCTGGCCATGCATGTATCAGCTCCTATACTGACCCTCCCCCACAACACCAGCAATCTTTCAAAGGACTTGAGATTCCAATTTCCCAGAGGGAACGGCTCACAGAATTCTGGCCTTTGGGTTAGTCTGATGTCAAAAGCCAGTAGGATGTCATGGTATCAAAGCACTCACCTTCTCCACGCGGAAAGTAACTGCTTTGGAGGAAATCTGCAGAACTGGTGCGATGAATTCACAAGTAACATCAATCTTCATGATACATTCTTTTCCAGACTGCTTCCCTATGATCGCGTGGCACAGCAATCTCTCCTTTACCAGCTGTTCAGGCAAAGAGCAGCAAAATGAACATGGCTGAGCCAGCTGGCCAGAAACCCTGTGAGTCCCTTGGAAATGCCTGCTTCGGTCAGTTTGCCACCCAAACCTCCCATTCACCATGTGTTCTGCCCAGCACTAGTTACTCTGTAGACTGACTACATTTCTTCTTTTTTACTGTACAAGACTTGGAGCTGAAACAGTGAGATGATCTGCCTCCATCAGGAAGCCATTCCCCCACTAGCCTCCTGTGAGCACCTTCGTCAAAGGTCAAAGGTCTCCAACTTTGGCAACCTTAAGACTTGTGCAATTCCCAGAATTCCCAACCAGCCATGGTCTTCTAAAATAGGGTTCTCCAATCTTGTCAACTTGTGGATTTCAACTCCCAGAATTTCTCAGTTGACAAGGTTAGAAACCCCCGCTGCAGAGCAGTGTTTTGCAATCTTAGGCATGTTAACCTTAGGCATGTTAAGATGTGTGGATTTCAACTCCCAGAATATCTGGGAGTTGAAATCCCACAAGTCTTAAAGTTGCCAAGTTTGGAGAGCCCTGCTCTAGCAATCAAGAGAATCCCTTCCCAACTCTGACTGCTTTTGCTGGCCTGCCTAGAAAAAACAACAGCTTCATCCTACTTGCTGTTGCCTATTTCTCCCCGAGCCATGAGCCTTCTTGTAAACATTTTGGAATGAAAATGCTTTCTGCCATCTCACTGGGAAGGGCTTCCCCCACAGGAAGCCTCTGCTATCCAGTTCTTAATGCCTGCTCATGAAGACCCTCAACATTAACCCCAGGCCACAGACATGCCCTATTGAAAGCGGGGCCAGACTGAAAAGATCCCCTTCGGTCATCAATTGAAGGAGATTTTCTCAGGGCTCCAGGAGCAAGAGCAAGTTACATCATTTCCAAGTAGCAGATATAAAGATACAAATTGTAGCAGCATATTCATCTCAGAGTAAAGAGGAAGATAAAAATCCAGTTCTGGGCACTAAAAACTCACAGTCAGAGTTTAAAAAGCAGAAAAGGTGAATGAAACACAGACAGGCAAGAAAACAGAGCATGTTATCCAATAACATTTATAACCTTACTTGGGTGGTTCTTTTAAGGTGACCATATGGCACTTACAGCAGCTAAGTCGCAAAGATGCTTTTTCAAGAGGCAATTGGGTTTTCTTTGTTTTTTCCTTGAAGACATCTTACTTCTCATCCAAAATTGAAGAAATGTTTTGAACAAAAAAAGTAAGAAAGTCCAGTTGTCTTTTGAAAAGCACTTTTGGGACAACCATGACCTGGATGAACGAGAATCTCCATAGACATACAACAGCTAAGCGAGACCTGATTGTCCAGATCATATAATTCTAGCAATTGCAGCCAACTGGCCTGCTCAGAAGATGTTGAGCATTCCCAGAACCTGACATGCCATGCCATCAATCAAAGGGATGCTTTGCATCACAGAGATTAGAAGGAACTCTGGAGATCATCTGCCCATAAGCATAGGATCCTGAAGAATACCTTGGGAACCTCAGAAGATCCTTCCAGGACCATGTCCATACTCTTTCCTGGGGTCAGTTCCATTCTCAGTGGCTGAAGCTTGAACACAGGACCTTGAGATTCTGTCTTTGAGGGGATGGCCTGGCTCTTGGTGTTGGTGCTGATGGCAGGGAGTGTGTTGTGCTGGCGAAATGGGGCGAAACCTTCAGTCATCCAATAAAGCTGATGGGTGCGACGCCCACAGTTGGTGATCTTGAAACGATAGCAGCAGGGATCCAAACTAGCAAAGTGACAGAAGACAGGCTTATTATACAATTCCATTTCAGAGGAAGCAACCAGATGCAAAATACAGCAAACAAATAAAGACAAGATACAAGAGAAAGAAAATCTAACTGTAGGTTACACTAATACCACTCACCACGAATAATTCTAACCCTGCCTATGTCAACTTCGAAATGGATCCAAGCTGCCACAGCCATCTTTTCGTTTCTCAGCTTGCCACACAGTAAGGGAGTTGGGGGCGGGGAAGAGGCTTGGAATGTCAGACCAGACAATAACAATAGATCGTCCTGTGGGAACCAAGGTCATCTCAACAGGTGCTGGCCAGAGACTGGAAAGAGTTACCAGGGAGATGCCAGACCACCTAATTGGACAATGTGACCTGTGACAAAGAAGGAGGGGAATATCTATTTTTTAATTATATGAAAACCATGGGAAATAGAGTTGGTTTTGCTTTCATGCGTGCCAAAATGATGTACTCAATAAAATAGTTCTTTGAGAAATCTGAATATCTTGGAGTGCTGACTTGGTTGGGTTCATCAGTCAGCCTATCGATGAAGCATACGATACACTGTTTCATATCACTTCTCTTTCTTGAGGATCTTATCAACTCCATCCAACCCTGCTTTGCTAAGTCATTCTGTTTTTCTCAACCTCACTGTGGCAGCCCCTCAAATATTGGCAGACTGCTCTCATGTCCACCCCCCACTAGTCCTTCTCTTCGTTAGGCTAGACATACCCACTTCCCACAACTGTTTACCATATGTTTTATCCTCCAACCCACTAATCATCTTTGCTGCTCTTCTCTGTGTTCTTTCTAGAGTCTCTTTCTAGTTAGCAGCTTCACATATCAACATAAAATTAGGCTTCAATCTAGAACACTTTAAAATCCTGTTTCAAAGGCCCTTCCTTGCCCTTTTATGGATTCCGACCACTCAGCCGAAATCCATAAAACGGCAAAGAAGGGCCCTTGAAACAGGATTCTAAGGTGTTCTAGACTGAAGCCCAATTTTATGTTGATAATGTAGTGGAATTGTTTCAAAGGCAGCACTGTAAACTCAGCAAAAAGCAATCGTATAATAAGACCCTAACAAAATATGTGAAGCTGCTGAAAAGCACCATTTAGACCATTGTGTTCCTCAAGGCAGGTATCCAAATCTGCCTTCCATAATTTAAATCCACATCTTATACTATTATCAAACTAGGTATCTCTCATGAGTATCTTACCATTTTATTTTTTTCTGAAGTGAAGAACTTTGCATTGTTCTTACATTTATTCATTATGTTCATTACTATTTCATTGCATTTCATTATTTCATTGCTATTCAGCCCACTTCTCTAACCTATCAATTTACAAATTATTTTGAGTTTGGCTTCTGTCTTCTAGAGTAAAACGTATCTTGTCCAGTTTTGATTCATTTGCTAAATTTCATAAAATTTCCTCTATCTTTTTGTCCTAGTTGTTAACAAGAATATGAAAGCAATTCAGATTTAGGAATGAATCCAACTGAGTAACCTCTGAACCATCTTCACCTGGACTGAATTATACTTACCTAACGAAATGTGCCTTTTGTAAGCTTGACTGAGCTTCCCATGTGGGTCAGAGCCCTCTGGCTCCTGATCAACTACAGACAAAAATGACCCTTACCTGAAATGGGGTCCCAGATTGATGGCAGGAGCAAATGGCTTGTCTGTGACAATGGTAGTTCCAATGCCAGTGGCCAGGACTGGAATAATATAAGAATTACTGTTCTCTATAGCCAAGTTGATTTTGTCCTGAAACAATACGGTATCATCCAAATTAACAATAAGAGTAAGTGATATTTCCGCCTCTGGAGGAACAACCCCTTCACTGGGGTCAATTCTCCACTGCGAAGGAGTACGGGCCTGAAACACAATAAAAAATACACAATCAATCAACTCCTCTGTGCCAGACCTCAATATTTTAAAAGGCAAGTTACGTATTAAGGAAATACAAATATGTTAAATCATTGTAAAAAAAACCCCATCCTGCGCATTAAAATGGGTGTACTTTTACTACCAAGAATTGACAAACAAAACATATCAAGGATACCCTAAAGTTAAAACTTACTTTAAATTGAGTTGTTATTTTTTAAGATTCTTTTGATATGCCATGCTATACTAAAGGTAGCACTTCTGGAATGGATGTGAGTTTGGTGGGACCACAAAATAGGCAAAGTAATAGAAAATGAAGAAGATAAATACTCTGAGACTTTAGAATTCAAATAAATGAACACCTGCCACGTAACACCCCAACTGCTGAAGAGAAAGACAAAACAGTCTGGACAGTGGAGGTGGCAATACCTGGAGAGAGCAGAACAGAATAGAAGATAACTAAAGCAAAGCAAAGATAGCACCAATAGTCACAGACTCCTTGGGTGCAACCCCAAAACAGCTGGAGCACCACTTGAATACCATGGGCATTGACAATTTAATCATTGATCAGTCAATTGCAAAAGGCAGCTTGACTCAGAACAGCTGATATCCTGTGACGAGACCTTTAACACCATCAAGCATCAACATCTGCCTATCCAAGATCCTTGGGAAGGACTTGACAGGTGGATAAAAATGCCAATCCAGTCTAAGCATTTGGTTGTCTGTGTAACAAACCATCATCACCATCATTTATTTTATTTATTTAGAGAAACTGCAAATATGTTATTCCAAGTGTTAAGGAACATGAAAATAGATGTGATCCATCTATTTTCTATTCAAACAAAATTAAAGGATGCAGGAATATGTGTACTATAGCAGAGATTTTCTGATGTTTTACAATAGTATTTTGTACCATTCATAGTATAATCATTATAATTAGTAAACCAATAACTTTTGATTCATTAGTAAACCAGTAACTACTGATAAAATATAAGGCAGATTTCTTTCTTTTTCTGCTTTCTTTTCTTTGTCTATACTTTTTTGTTTGTTCTAATTTTTACTTCTACCAAGGAGCTCAGTATATATCTCAGCAAAACGGTTTCTGTCAAGCCTGCCCCAAACCCCCAAAGGCTTGTAAATCACATGAAGAGACATCACTACCCACTGCTAAAGAGGGTCTGGCATATTGTACAACACCAGCCAATTCCGTTAGGTTATGATCCAGCACATTGCACAAACTCAGAAAAAGGGTTAATTTAGTAGTCAAAACATATGATACAAATGCTGCTATGGAGTTGAGTGCACATATGTGCTGTATGTATTAGGCATCTACCAATTAGAAACATGTATAACTCTGTATATCATCAGTTGTAAGAAAACAACAGACAAGGTAGTTGGTGGGATCTGGAGCTAAGTTGAATGAAAAGGCTGGCTGGCCTTGAATCGCTCATGTGATGAAGCAGCTGAAAGGTGTTCTGCTCTAAACCTTCACCGAGTCTACCTAGCAGTTCTATAGTATCAATAGGTGAGCAGCAATCAACCTGCCACTCTGATCAGCACCTTATGTGGCCTCTGGTTCCTTCTGCCTGACAGGCAGCCAAAACAAGCACTTGCCCACCTCCTTCTAGACTTCTTGGATGCCACTGGCTGACAGCTACAGTCTTACTGTATTTTTAGTAATTTATTTAATTTTTGGACTAGAAGACTTCCAGGGTCCCTTCCAACCTTACTGTTCTATGTTCTATATTCCAAATTGCTAACTACTAATCCATATCTCTTCTTGGAATATCCACAGCTCCAAGTGCTATCCATCTGGAAATGACTTCATAGGAGGCTTTCTCCTATAATCATGGCAAAAGCTGTTAACAAAGAAAACCTGTTCAGTTTTACTTCCCAATATAAATCAGCTTCAAAATTTACTTACCATCTGCACCTTAAATGGTGCAGGAATAACAGACTGATTTGAAAGACAAAGTGCCCTGGAAACATTCTTTAAAACATGGATGCAGCCAAAATCTATCTTAGATGGATGCACATAAACAACAGGACCTTCTCCAAAAGTCACCAATTGGATTTTCTATGGCAAGGAATAAAAAGAAGCAAGCAGAAGAAGTTAACACAACAATTATTGTGACTTATTATGACTGAATACTGTAAAATAGCCTTCCACAATCTAAGTAACCTCTTGATGCATGAATTACAGCTGTCAAAATTTCCTAGAAAATATAAGCATAGAAGAGAATCCTGGAAGGTAAAGTCTTCACAATTACAAGATACTTAAATTGAGGAAGGTTAATTTTCATGCATACTTGGATTTGGTGCTTAGATATTAACTTTATACTTCATTTATATCACAGGTCAGGAGGTAAATCTGATTAAGAGGAGAAAGCTATTTAAAACCTATTTTTTTGCTGTGGTGGATACAGAGCCCTGTAGCTGCAGCTACTCTCCCCCATGGGGCTAGACAACCATTTTGCTTCCACTCAATTGTCGAATTGTCCACTTATTGTGGAATACATTAGAATAGACATTTTCTCATGGTCTGTCTTAGTAGCTGAGAAGAGCAAAGGGATTCCGTAAGAAGAGATTGGATTGTTAACATCTACCTGAAGGATTTAAAGGATGAAACAGCCTACCTTCACAGGTGAGAGCCATGGAGGGTGCAGGTTTGAATGATGAAGTGCTGAGCAGTCCAGTGAGAAGACTGACTGAGCAGTGTGTGATCACAACTAAAAGTTGAGGAGGATTCTTGGTGGTCCATTGATGCTGAATGCTAGGCAGAAGCACTGTGGATACTAGAGCCTCCTCCTTTAGATTGGATGGATGAGATGAAAGCTACAGGTGGTCTGGGATAACTCGCCATGGTCAACTTGCCATGATCAATTTGCCACAGGACAATTCAATGCTGTATTAAACGTTTCATTCAGTTACTTTTATTATTGGTGACTACATTTTTTTCAAAATTATTGTAACTCTTGTACTTCTGGATTGACTTTCTTTATTTTATTATTATTGCCATGGTTTTTATTGAATTGTCCCACAGAGAGTTGTCTTGCAGTGAGTTGGCTGCAGCAAGTTGGCCGTGGTGAGTTGTGCCATTCCATGTCCATTCTGGGACATAAACTGGACAGGGGAGGGGGAGGGCTCTAAAGGAATAGAAGCAGGCAGTCAAATCTTGGTAATGTCCACCAAGAGTCACTTTGTTGAGTTGGGTGGCTATAGAAATTGACTGACTGACTGAATAAATAGATTGCTTATTTCTGAGGAAGATAGATTTCCTGTTCTGAGGGAGTAAATTCCCACTCAAGAACAGATGGCAATAACATAACTATCTGCCCCAGGAGACTCTCTCCCAAGGAACAGCCACCAAACATTATTGTACCTGAGGAGGCTTGCATTTTAGCCTCCTTTCTGAAACCTAGGGAGATACCATATAAACATTCTTAGGATCTTTGGTCTGTACATATCAAGTACTTCAATATCTTGGAACAATAAAATCATATGGAAAAACTTCTGTTTCTCAAATGAATGATGCAGTACACATTCCCAATTACACAATATTCAAATTTCCAGAATAAACCAGAAATAAACATTTAAGGTTTTACAAGGGATATTTTTGCTAGATCTATATTCTAGACTCAGATCTAGCCACTTACATATGGAATTTTTAACCATTCCCAAACCATTGGTGCGCGCGCGCACACATACACACACACACACACACACAGAGTATCATTTTGCTATGGATCATCTGGAATGCCATTTTCAACCATCCTTCATTCTATTGTCAAATACTAGAATGGCAGATCCTAGAATCCATCTCAATAAATGATCTACCTCTTTCTCCTTCTCTAGCGTATCTTTTCACATAAAGCAAACCAATGACCTTATCATTATCAATGGATTACAGTCTTTTCCTGTCCTCCTGCGACCAAGGAACTTTATTGAACTTACTGTAGTCAATACAAGATGTAATAAAGGCCTCTTTATTCCTGCTCATTCAATCCACTCACCAGGGGAAAGTCTTCATTCCCAAAGATAGCTATGCAAGCCACTGTTTCCTGGTGACCTTTTTCCTCAACTTCCAAAGCTAATGGGATTTCAACTGTGGCATGAGGTGGAATAATACCACAAGGTGCTGGACTTGAATATAAGATGGTGGGAGAGTTCTTATATTCCTAGGTGGAGATAAAAGCACTAAGAATTACCTGCTCAAAGTCTTTCTGTTTCTATGCTGTCATGATCTCCCCCAATAAAATCCATGTCTTTTATTTATTTATTTTATTATTCATGATAGAGCTCTGAAAATTTATTTCAGCAAACTTTTCAGCAGTTGTTTTCAATATCATAAGAGCAACAAAGCAAGAACATCCTTAAATAAAATGTAAACAAGAGTACAGTTCAAGAAATGACCATAACTGGGCTAAAACATTTCTCTCCTCTTTTCTATAACCAGATTATTAAATCCACCTTGCCCCTAGAGATGCTGAAGTTTCATCCTCCTGTACAAGGCCATCAACCTGAATGAAAAGCCTCTGCAGAAACAGCAGGACCTTCAAATAGGAAAGAAAGAAGTCAAAAATCAAACCAACCTGGGGAAGAACACCATAACACCCTGGAAGATCAGCTTCATTAACAAGTTTTACCACTTGTTGATACTGAAATTTCAGGAAACAACGTCCAAAATTCACAGTGGGGCTTGCCACATGTAGTGGAGGTGTGAGGCATCTAGTTAATCAGAAAAACAAATCAATAAAAATATTTTTTTAAAATTCTAATCCACAACAGAGATGCAGAGAATAACACATTTATAATTTTGAAAAAGACTCATCAACTTGTTATTAGTTACCTGAAGCTGCAGGTTTCTAAAACTTCACACAGTACATTAAAAGTGAAGCTGCTGGAAGCAGACCTACACCTGACCCTAAGTCTCAAGAGAGGGTGGGCCTTGATATTTTTTTGGTAATTCGGGTTTTTGAGATTTGAAGGCCATGTTACACAGAAAATCAGACTTGGATCTGGAAATCACTTTTCTCAGGCTCAAGATCTTGTCAACACCATGTGACTTGCCTTGTTTATGACAAGCCAGTGTGGTTTCTCTAGAATTCCCTTTGCTATTTCTCAACCAGATTTCAAAATGCCCTACCAATCTCCAGAAAAAGAGAGCAAAATGAACCTATAAGATAGTTGCTGTATAACCCACATTCTCACGCCATGTGGGTTATCACCAAAGGAGGCTGCTGTAAACCTACAATGACCCATCTTCAATTGTAAAGGACAAGCAATCAAGGAATATGCTGCTGCAGACTAGCACTTGGTTCAATAGCCATGAAGGCCTCGGAAAAGATATTCAAATGATATGATATGTCTACACCTACAAAGACCATGACACTCTATGGATGTGAAAGTTGTACTTTGAAGAAATGGGATAAGAAGAGTATTGATGCATATAATAACCTTAAACAACAGATAGCGACCGATTTGGCTAAATGGGAGAACCTGCAATTATCATTGATAGGGAAGATATCAATTATTAAAATGAATATATTGCCTAGAATTTTATATTTATTCCAGACAATCCCAATTAAGTTGGAAAAAGAATATTTTGAAGATTTAAATAAAATTGTGTTAAAATATATTTGGTAGGGTAAAAAGGCGAGGATAAAATTAAGATTGCTGCGTGTAGTTCTCTCAAGGAAAATAATTATAAGGTTAAGCGACAGATAGGACAAGATTTGGAAAAATGGGCAAATCTGCAATTATCTTTAATTGGGAGAATTGCAACTAATAAGATGAATATCTTGCCTAGAATTTTATATTTATTCCAAACAATCCCGATAAAGTTGGATAAGGAATTTTTCACAGATTTGAATAAAATGATATTGAAATATATTTGGCAGGGGAAAAAGGCAAGAATAAAAATGAAGTTGTTACAAGATGCTAAAATAAGGGGTGGTTTTGGTTTACCTATTTTTGAACTCTACTATCAAGCAGCTAGCTTAATGTGGACTAAAGAATGGATATCATTAAAAAATACTAGATTGTTAAATTTGGAGGGACATGATTTGTTGTTGGGATGGCATGCTTTTTTGTGGTATTAAGGAACTAAAATACAAGGGTATTTTAGAAGACATAAAATACGTGAAGCCTTATGGTTGAATTGGGAGAAGGTTAAAAAAAATCACTACATGAAGATACCAGTCTCGGTATCTACAATCGAAGCATTCTCGCATCCAGTGGTGTTTAAAGGGAAACAAATTATAAAATATAAGGAATTATTGGATGAAAAGGGTGAACTTAAATTAAAGCAAGACATGGAAGATCAAGGGTATAAAATGGATTGGTTTTCATACATGCAAATACTCTCTAGATATCGAGAAGACCTTAAACAAGAAGGCTTTTATAATGTATTGACTAATTTAGATAAGATTTTGATGGGTTCTGATGATCATGTAATTAAAAAGCTATATGGTTATTTGCTAGAGGTTAAATTGGAAGAAGAACAAGTTAAAGAATCAATGATAGCATGGGGGAAGAATTTTGGTTATGGTATTGATTTAGAGAAATGGCAAAAATTGTTTTTTATTTTATTTTATTTTTTAAAATTTGATTTATATGCCACCCTTCTCCGGAGACTCAGGGCGGCTTACAATGCGTTAAGCAATACCCTTCATACTTTTGTATATTTATACAAAGTCAGCTTATTGCCCCCACAAACTGGGTCCTCATTTAACCTACCTTAGAAAGGATGGAAGGCTGAGTCAACCTTGAGCCTTGGAGAGATTCGAACCCTGCAGTAATTGCAGGCAGCTGGTGTTAATCACAATGCTTTCAGTCTGTTGAGCCACCAGGCCCTTCTGGTCACATAAATTGTCACATAAATTGTGGTCACATAATTATAAAATGACAATGTCTACAGCATATAAGGAGAATTTGTATAAGATGTTTTTCAGGCGGCATCTAGCGTCGAGAATAGCCAGAATGTTCCAGAATAAATCGGAGAAATGTTGGAAATGTCATCAGACCCCAGGATCCTATTACCACATGTGGTGGACATGCGTAGAAGCAAGGAGATATTGGACTAAGATACACACGTGGTTGGAAAAAATGATAAAGAGACATATTGACTTTAAACCAGAGATACTTTTATTAGGGATTATACCGGAGACATATAATAAAGAACTGCAATATTTAATTGTGAATCTTTTGACAGCAGCTAGAATTGTATTTGCTAAAAATTGGAAAGGAGAAAAGTTACCTAATGATGAAGAAATTATAAAGAAAATGATGGAATGTGCTGAAATGAGCAAATTGACATTTGAAATAAGAGAACAGGAAGATAGACAATATTATTTGATATGGGATTTATTTTATCAATGGATAGAGAATAAGAATTGGAAATAATTATGATATAAATGGATGTTGAAATTTTTGGAAATAAGCTAGCATGTTTAGTGATAAATTGAAGAGAAGTGAAGCACAAAAATACCACCGACTGATACACTGTCTATAATTGTATGGAATTATTATGTTTTTATGTTTTGTTTTGTTTGTGTTTTTGAAAATAAAAAAAATGTATCAAAAAAAAAATTAAATTGCTGCAAGATGTCAGAACAAGAGCAGGTTTTGGTTTGCCGGATTGGGAATTATACTATCAAGCTAGTAATTTGATGTGCATTAAAGAATGGATAATGTTAAGAAATATTAAATTGTTGACTTTAGAAGGACATGACTTGCTGTTGGGCTGGCATGCTTTTTTTATGGTATAAGAATACAAAAACACAGGGTTATTTTAGAAGACATATTATACGAGACTCTTTGTTATCAAACTGGGAGAAGATCAAAAGATATCATTATTTAAAAATTCCAGTATGGTTATCTTCTACTGAAGCATTCTCATACTCAATAACATTTAGAAAGGAACAAATTGTTAGATATTGTGAATTATTGAATGAAAAGGGTGAACTTAAATCGAAGCAAGAATGAGAAGAACAAGAGATAGAAATGGATTGATTTTCATATATGCAAATACGGTCTAGATATGTTGAAGATTCTAAGACAGAGGGTTTTTACAGTAGTTTGACGAATTTAGATAAAATCTTAACAGGCTCTGATGACTATGTAATTAAAAAATTGTATGGTTATTTATTAGAAGTAAAACTGGAAGAAGAACAAGTTAAAGAAACAATGATTGCATGGGGAAAAACTTTGGCCATGGGATTGATTTAGAGAAATGGCAAAAATTGTGGTTGCAGAACTACAAAATGACAATGTCAACAGCATATAAAGAGAATTTGTATAAGATGTTTTACAGGTGGCATCTACCCCCGGCAAGAATAGCCAGAATGTTCAAGAATAAATCGGAGAAGTGCTGGAAGTGTCATCAGACTCCGGGTTCATATTACCATATGTGGTGGACATGTGCAGAAGCTAAAAGATATTGGACTAAAATCCACACAAGGTTGGAAAAAATGACAAAGAAACACATTGATTTTAAACCAGAGATATTTTTATTAGGGATTTTACCAGAAACATATAATAGAGAACTGAGATACTTAATTGTGAATGTTTTAACAGCGGCTAGAATTGTATTTGCTAAAAATTGGAAAGGAGAGAAGATACCTATTGATGATGAAGTTATTAAAATTTAAAAATTTAAAAAATTTTGGAATGTGCTGAAATGAGTAAATTGACATTTGAAATTAGAGAACAGGAAGACAAACAATATTACTTGATATGGGATTTATTTTATCAATGGCTAGATAATAAAACATGGAAATGAAATATGAAATGAATGTAATAATAAAATATATGAAGCGGTTTTTTACGGGAGATAAGCCACTGTTAAATAATTGGTAAATGAGAATAATAATACAAAGGGATATAATAAATTGTCAAATAAGAGAATTTTGGATATGGGATTAAGCACAAAAGATTTGTAACCGATCGACACACTTTCTGTAATTGTAATGGATGATGGTTGTTTTATGTTTTGTTTAAAAATTCAAAAAAATTCAAAAAAAAAAAAGAAGAGTATTGATGCCCTTGAACTTTGGGGTTGGAGAAAACATCTGAGAATACCACAGACAGCCAAGAAAATAAACAAACAAACAGTCTTGAACAAATCAAACCAGTGTCCTCACTCAAGGCACAAATGGCTAGGCTCAAGTTATCCCACTTCAAATACATTATGTGAAGGCCTAGCACTCTGGACAAGGTTCTGAGGCTGGGAAAGGAGGAAGGAAAGAGAAAAGGAGGATGACCTACAGCATGGGGGAATCGACTCAGTTACAGCAGTAATGAGTGCACAGAAGAACAGAACAGAATAAAAGGGTTGAAAGGAACTTTGGAGGTCTTCTAGTCCACCCCTCTGCTCAAACAGGAGATTATATTATTCTGGAGAAATGGTTGTCCAATCTCTTCTTACAAACCTCTAGAGATGGAGCATCCACAACTTCTGGAGGTAAGCCAATACACTGATAATTTTTTCTCACTGTCAGGAAATTTCTCTCTAGTTCTAAGTTGGTTCTCTCCTTGATTAGCGCCATTGGAAGACCTGAAAGACCTGATTAGAGACAGACCTTCCTGGAGAAAATATATCTATGTGATCACTAATAGTCAACAACCACTTGATGGTATGTAATCAATCGAAATTCAGTATCTTAATCTTTGTGTCACACTTGAAAAGTCCTGTGAATATACAATCAAATTATTATAACTACAGTTCT